TTATAGAGTATTTGGTTACTTCAAAACACAACCTGAAAATATTCTGCAAATTTGCCAGCGCGAAGAAGGAAGATTCAAACTACTGATACTTTTACCTTTTTCGTAATAACCAAAATTATGTCTGCTAAATGACCAACAAACGAAGATTAAAGGGCAGTCTGATAAACATTAAGCAAATACCATCCTATCAATAATGTTCAGATTCATGAAACTTTAGTCCACAAATAGTTTTTTCGAAGTAAATTTATTTTATTGCTATATGCGATCTTCAAGATAAAACAAGAAAATATTTTGAGTGCAATGAAAAAATTTCGTGATATGAGAAATCATTTCGAAGGAAATTTTCTTTAAAAAGCAGTTCAAATTCAAACTTATCATTCAGAAAATCCTATTGAAATAAATACCTATCAATTAAGTAGTCTAAAGTAAAATAAAATTTTGTGGCAGTATTTTCACGATGAATGAAAAACTCCAAACGTATTATGATGGCGCAACAAGTAGTAAGAAAGATCTGTTGCAAATAAAACATTTTTAATGTTAATTAACAAAGTCTCTTTCCATAAAATTTGTTTTACAGCATTAGGCGAAACATCAGCTACACTTGCATCTGTAAGTCTTTATTGACATCAATTATATGTGCATAGTCATTACTGTAATTGTTTGTGCATATGTCATTACTATATTTATAATTGTAATAGCAGTATAGACATGATTTTTAAGCTCTAATGTTTGTGAAACTTTAGCAAAATTCTTGAATGTAAAATACGTTTGTAAGTAACTGTAACGTAAAGTAATGTCTGAGAAAGAGAACAATATTATTCTTGTAGAATACTCGTATGAAGTATTTTTTTCTAATTTTTATAAGATTTTGTTAGTTTAAATGGCATCATGGTATGAATGAAAATGAAGTTGTTGACAACAATAAGTTTGCAGCGATTACTTTTTGTGATATACTCAGTTCTGTCATGATGACGTACTTGATGAAGTTATCAAATTACAGCAGGAGGCAACAATTGTCCAGTTGATAAAACACGCAGGAATTGGTGTCCCTCATGCAGACTGCAGAAATGTCTCCAGATGCAAATGAATAAAAACGGTTTGTTTCAAAACTCGTTTTGATCCTCAATCTAAAAATTTGATCACAAGAGAACCTTGCTAACCCAGACAGATGTGTTCGACGAGTTTTCAACTCAATCCAACTACTATCTGCCAACTTTAATCAAATAAAATCCATGGAATATAATTAGGAAGTACCACTTTCCATACCTTTTTATTAATTATAGTTCTGTAATGTGAGACTAATGTAAATGACGGCATGTAAACTACAGACACAGAAACACCACATTTCGCGCAGGAAACACTCCTGAATTCTCAAAAAATCAATCACCAAAAAGCACCTGATACTTTTTGAAAAGTCTAAGACTGAAAAACAATTTGGGACAAAAAGATCAAATGTAATTCATGCGGATAACTTGCTGGAAACTTCAATAATGAAATCTAGGTACATTCAAATTAGAAAACTTTTGAAACAATTCCAGCAGTACAGAAAGAACGTGGTCCACGCAAAGAGAAACAATTGATGAAGATTGCATTTACAGAGTATTCGAGCATTGAAAAAAGTGAGTTGAACTTGCTTTATATTCATTTTGTACCTCAAAAAGCCTACCATTTTTGTCAATATCTGAACACATCAAACCTGCAGTCTTTATAAATAATGCAAATTTTAGTAGAAACTAAGCAGTTGTGCAGAAACTGAAAGCATATTTATAAATTATACAAATGACATGAACTTATAAAGTTCTTTTTCAATCTGCAGAAAAACAAGTACTTGTTGAAGCAATTCGAAGTTCTTTAAGTATGGTTTTGATGACTTTTATCCCAACAATGGACAAATTCACAATACTTTCTGAATACTGGCCTATTTTCTTTATACTTCACTTCACGTTTATCACTGATCTTCCAAAACTTCAACACCTAAAGGTTTCCTTGAACACGACATTACCGTTTGATTTGTCTTGAGTAGGAGGAAAATAATCCCATACTAAACAGCCAAAGTAATTTTATAGCTATTTATATCAGCCCAGTAACCACTGTAGAATGATCGTTGTATCATAATTTGCTCTTTGCATCACTCGTAAGGCAAAATAAATATTTTCAAAAAAAGTGATAGTGAAGAAATAATCAGCAAAAGACCATTTAATTCTTTATTTTCTTTTCAAGTCAAATTCATTCTAATCATGCGAAGAATTTTTGAAATTAAATGCTCAAAAGCATACTTTGTGTATTTAATTTTTAAAAAAATTTTGAAATCGACATAATTAAAGTCATTCAATCTTTCCAAAATTAAATGAAAAAGTTCGAAAAATTACTGAAGTACTGATCTGAAGATCTAGAATTAAAGTATCAAAAAAAAAGTCATCTAATAACTTATTTCACAGATTAGTGAAATGATACTATCGACCAGAAAAAACAGGCAAATTCATAATTTGGACAGTGAGGAAATACGACTTGCAACCTGCTATGCTCTCTGTAAACTAGGTACAGATAAAAATGCTATTTTAGCATGAAGATATGCGTATACATCTGGAAAATGATCGTACTTCAATAAATTCCATTGTTTTCATTTAATTGGTATAATGATCAGAAACACTGCTTAGATAAAATGGTAATAAAAACAACGCTTGACAGTAGTATTAATTCTGCATAATATTTTCTCAGAATACATGTCTTTTGCTTGCGCTACTAAGATATTTTTAATTACTCAAGTTTACATTAACTTTTGGTTGTTGTACAATCAAATGAATGTTCACGAAGTTACAGGTGAAAAAAACGAGAAATTAAGTTTCGCTTCAAGTTTAACAAGTACTTACCGATATTGGCTATCACGTCATCGTTCCACATTCTACCCAAATCTGTTGACCCGAGATGAACATATCATCAATTTCATTGATCAAATCCTTGACAACTGTGAGTATGCTTCAATGAACGAAGAATTTACACCATCTACCTATCCAACAACTGTCATTAAAGCTCTTCTTAAAAATGGAAGAATAAATATCTGAATAAACAAAGTGCCCCGAACAAGAGAACAGATTCACTAAAGAAACAAATATGTGAGTGAAGAAGTTCCTAGAT